AACAGGTCATTCAACCTAGAAGATTCATGCAGTGTTTATGTCTCACACAAGTCTCCACCCATCCCTTTCCATCTGACCTCATCAACAAATCCTTATATTCCTTTGTTTTATGTGTGCTAATTAAGTTTCCCCCAGAATCCATCTGAGACAGTAAGAATAGAAAGGCATTTGTAGAAAGTAAGAACAACACCTGAAGATCCTAGCCTGATAAAGGAAAAAATGAACAGTGTGGAAAAATAACCTTTTGGGGCAAAGTTATTTGTAAAAGAGAGGAAAATTCTACTTAGAACAACAGTACTAAGTGTGAACAAATTTCAGCAGTTGATTAAAACCAGTGAAGCACCAGGCAGAAGTCAATCGCAAATTTTTAAAATTTACCAACATTTCTGGAGCATTTCAAACACTTAAACGTATTAATTGCTGTTTGTTTATTTCAACTTCTAATGTGAAACACAAGAATCAACATTTGTTTTGCTGTAATACTAAACTATGACGCTCTTACAATCAAGTTAGGTTAGAAGAAATCAGAACAGCCGATTTTATATACTAAGATTACACCAGAAGGATTTTTTCCACTGAAGTGTTTTTTTTTCAAACTCTGCTCACTATACTGTATATCTATCAATTACTTTGTTTTTTGCTGTCAATTACTTTGGTTATCTTCTGTCAGTGAATTACAAACAACATAAGATTTAAAGTGCAACTAGCACTCTCAGTAAATATCTAGATAGGAATGTTCTTTGGTTTCACTTTAAGTCCGATCCATCTCCATAACTAAGTAGCCTGCTCTGGGTCATCCTGAAACTGGCCTTGTGATTAATGAGCCCTAATTTGCAATTTCTTTCACAGCCTTTCAGTCTTCAATGAATATTTTTAAACCAATGCAACTCTAACTCATAAAACAAAAATCTCTCTGCACGACTCTAAACTGCAAGTATTGCAGACATAATGTCTCCAGTTCTTTAGCTAACTAATCCCACTCACTGTTTAATGATCTTGTCTTTCTAACTGTTAAGATCTTATTACAAAATGGACCCAACCTTTTAAATGCAATAGATGCCAAGCATATTTTGTTTGCATTAATTTAATTTTCTACAATTAAATTTAATTACAGAAATTAAAAATTAATATATCAAAAGACATCAATTTGTATGTAGATCTCAAAAGGAGCTGTATCTGTTGTATGGTTAGTGAGGAAACAGTGTTGTGCAGTGCATGAGGAGGAATCCGAGATTCGTATGGTCTCTTGCAGTTGAAGCTTTGAGGTCCAGTTCAACAATCAAACAGATTGAAATGTAAAACTGAGACCCCGTTTGGTTGTTGAACTGGACCTCAAAGCTTCAACTGCAAGAGACCATACGAAGCAGGGATTCCTCCTCATGCTCCGCACAACACTGTTTCCTTGCTAACCATTCAACAAATCCAGCTCCTTTTGAGATCTATGTGCAAACTAGTTCCACTGTTAACCTAGACAATATTGATTATACTTTTATTTCTTGATTGTAATGTATTTTGGGCTGAGTTGAGGATATGGCAAGGTCCTTTTTTTTAACTGGACGCATTTTCAAATAATTTCTTCCACTACAAGTTGGTAACATATTTCAAGAGTATTTTTCAACATGTATTTTCACTAAATTCACTCATTTATGGTATTTTTACACAGAGAAAATCTAATCAAAGTGGGTTCTTTAGTCAGTTTGGATCAAACTATAAAGGCCTTTTTCTTAATAAACTTAGATTTGCAAAGCTTTTCTTAAAAAAAAATCCTAATCAGTTTAGTCTAAAGCTAAAGCTCCTTTATTTGGTAATTAGAGCACAATGTCATAATTCTCAATAAAAATTGTAAATTTTGATACTTGGCTGAACTATTAAGACAGGCTTCAAGTGATTCAGAAAGGTACACTCCTCTACTCGAACAACTGTGTTGTCCCATAGCTGCCCTAGGTAAAGACCAATGCAACGTGCCCTCATATAGCAGAAAAGACTCATTAAAGAACAACTCAGTTCATTCTAGTTGGAGACCCACCAACATAATACCCATACAGTTTCTGCACAGACATTCTGAATTGACTGAAATGTGGTGTCATTGGCTGACTAAGAATGTTGTCTATTTTGGTGATGAGGAATTAGGAGTAAGAAACTGAAGGAGATGTTCCAACAAGGCAGCCATAAAATTGCACTGCAATTTTGACCATGAATACATTCATACAAAAGCTCTTAACTGCTAATTTGAAAAATAAAACCCATTTATTTTAAATGGACTAATTACTATTATTATACAGAACAACTTCATATATACAATTAATTTTTAAAAAAAAAACCTTTATTTTTGTGTTTTGCAAACATGTATAAATCTGCTAAAAATGCTGCAGTACACAGACAATAAGCACACCATTGTGCATTCATCCATATTGCTCCAACTGTTACCAAAGCTATTGTTAATGCTGGTCACCCACTTGAGCACAACAATCAATTTGTATTAAATCAAAACTCCAAGTCAAATAATCAGCAGAAAACTTGCCCCAAAATCTGATGACCTAAAATAGGCCACTCCACAAATAAGAAAGGATAACATTGGCAGGGGAATCCGAATAGCCAAAGCAATTCAAACTTACTGTTTTTTTAATGTCCTTAAAATAATATCTTTCAGCACTCATCTTAACAACATATCTCTGGCTTTTGTGTCAAGTTGCAAATTCCACAGAGGGAGTGAGAAGAATAAGTGAGCAAAACGGAAATCCTTACTTTTCTATAACAGATTTCTTTTATACCTTGAGAGAGGGCCAAATATGGACAGCACTGATAACAAATTTATCCACTCTCTCCCTTTTTATGTCTGGACTTGTCTAATTTAAATTGTCAATTAAGAAAAGACAACTTTAGTAATTATTTTTAAATCTATGGTGTTAGGAAATTACCAATTTTCACTGGAGACTTTCTATCTCAAAAATATGCTTTGACAAGTCTGATTCAGCTAGTGACAATTATTTCTGCAATTTGACTTGGCAGAATGGGAAACAAGTTGCAGGGCCAAAGTAGTACAAAAGCATTTCGTTATTCTCCTCCACTTTCATTACTGCCCAGTACGTGAATACGTCCAACTGACCATTATCTACTCAGTATTTTTAATGTTAAGGCTCCTTTATGGTACATATTAGAAACAGCATCTCTTAGTTATATAAATGAGCCACATAATGGCATCACTTATGATTGCTGCATACAACAGTTAAATCTGAAGAGAAGCCGAAGTCAAAGCTGGTCATTGACTTAAGTGAAAACTTCAACATGTGAATGTGATTATAATGTTTAAATTGCCTTACTTCTGACTTAACAATAGAATTGAATAGTTCTGTGTGCTCATTATTATATTTACCAAATTTATTACAGTGGATAAATGAGCTGCACCAATATTAATAATTCTACATTGAATTCATAAAATACCAAAGTTTAATTTAAAAATTGTTGAGTATAGAAGACTTTAATTAATCATATATTTCTTCATTTAAAACTAAATTTTTAAAAAATAGTAATTCCACTGTATGGACTGTAATCCATTGTAAGGGTGTAGAATGGAGGGAAAGAAAGGAAGAAATAGTTAATTAAGTGGGAAGAAGTGGAAGGTGGTGTGCCAGAGAACTAACACAAACATCAGATTTGATTCTATTTATATCTGAGTTACCTACTCTCATGCTCATGATTACCATCTGGATGAAAAGGTACTGCGCCTGGCTACAATGATCATCTTGAATAAGCGACCCTCCAACATTCACAATCCATTTTCATACAAATGGGACTGCCACTTAGTTTGTGCACCTCAAGGCAGTTGGTGGCCACAAAATCTCTAATTTTATTTTGGCTAATGATCGACACCACGTTTTAGTGGTGTCTGAAATGTAATTCTTTGTCAGATGATTGTTTTAAAATTGGCACGTTTAGTGCACGCGGCATCCCTTGAATATCAAAGATACTTTGAACTTCAATTCATAAACAATGCCATCATCCGCATCTGTAAAGAATGAAATTATACAATAACTAAAGGCAACATGGAATTATCAATTGGGTGTAACGCATCAAAATCCCTTGATTTGACAAAGTACAGTTTCCATGAAGATGAAAAATTTTCTTCAAACATCCTTGATAAAATTAATGTACAGTTGCTGCAATAATTTCCCTTCCTTTTAATCAAGATTTCTTTCAGACCGAGTTGGTATTCCAGGCTGTGTCTGTTTGGCAAGTTTTGCCTGGGCCACAAACTCCATTTTTCCATGCACATTAAACTGCAGAATATCTGCTCCACAACAGCTGTTGCTAATTACAAAGGACTTCCACAATAACCTCCCACAAACTGTTCCTGTGTATACTTAAAGAGACCACACAATCAGATTTGGGATAAACTGAAGCTAGTTAAGACTGCTATTAAACAATAATAAAACATCACTATTGGCTTTTTCACCCTATTAGCCATCGTGCTATACACTTAATATGCTGATTAAGAGCCTGGGGCATACATATATGCCACTGCTAAAAACAGATGGAAACATGAGTTCAACTTTTCAATGCAACATTAAACAGAGCAATGCAAGTTGCACTTTAAAAAAAAAACTGGGAAGCATACAAAAAAATACATTTGACTATCACAATTGCTACTACTTGTATTCTTCTAAATCATTCAGTCCAATAGTCAAAATTAGGAATTGTAACAACAGAGTTAATCAGAGGGAGAGAAAGTTTCAGTCAAGTTTTTTTTCTTGAATGTACATTTGACTTCAAAATGAGATCTCAATTCATATTTTGTTGTTTTCTAAAACACTCAAAAACACAAAACTGTTTGGTTTAACTCTCAAATAGAAAACTGACTATTTTCAAGCTTCTACATGCATTCCATGTGTCAGGATTTAAAAAATCCTACCACCTACAAACCACACTACTTGCTGCATTGTTGTTAGGCCTCTTTTAATACCATATCACAGCATTAAAATTAAAGTCAGTGATTTTCTTACTCTGAATGTCTTGCTTGTGGGTGAAGGTGAACAAGGTGGTGTCTCTTGCTGCGGTTTCTTGTTCCTCATCAGATCCTTATTCCTAGAATACAGCGCTGACATAGTTACCAAATCCAAAGAGTTCAAGAACTGATGGATACTGTACTATATTTACTTTTCCGAGCAAGATTTTTTCTATGTTCAAACACGTTGCCTTCAGAACTGATTTTCCGTGTCCAAAGCTGCAATTGTTGAGATTTGCTTTACAAAAGTGCAGATTGACAGGCAAAATGAAAATAGAGCTGTTAGACGAATTGTTGGTCTTCAAGCTGAGATTTGTTCTTGTTTAGCTGGATCAAGAGCTCAGCACATTTAAAAAGAAACAGATGAAGGCATCAAATAAATCCCAAAGGAGTCTTTCAAAACACCACAGCTGCAACAAAGCGGTTTTCAATTTACCTGAACTGCATCATAAGACGAAAATGAGATAGTCATCAAAACATGATCGTTCATTTTGAAACTTTGTACAGTTCAAGGGGTGGAGCACTTCTTGATGATGTATTAATACAGATAAGTTTTGTTTTGTTCTCATTGCCTTAGCTGGCCTGCTTCACGCACTGCTTTCTTTTGGCATTTCAATTTTTTTCTGACTTGAACAGGAATGCTGGAATGAAGCCAAAGGCATCATTCGCTTTCAGCTGGGAATTAGTGTTTTTTTTCCTCTGAGGAAGAAACTCCTTAAAAATTCTTTATCAGACATCTGGATTTAACAAGGAAGCCAGTACTTCAGAACATAGAAATTCTTGGATTTACATAACATAGAACAACATCACAAATTCACTTTTGGAATGACCTGCCCATCATTCTATTTAAACCAATCTCTCAATAAAACAAACTTCATTAGGAAACAATGAACTACTTGGTATAACTAAGTGGTCTATGTCAATAGTTTCATGATACAGACATTAGATTATTTATTTCAACTGGGTACTTTAGTTGAAACTTTGGCTATAAATACTTTTTTCCAACATAACTTCTGCTTTTTTCTCATCACGAAGAGACTACTTGGTTTAACAACAACCACAGTGAAAAGCAGAGTGGAATTTTACAAAATTTGCATTCTGGACAATTCTTTTGGTAAGGTATTAGATTGGATTCGTAGTTAGATTATATTAGTACTAACTATTAGGATTATTCACAGATTGAACGTTATATATTCTTTAAAAGCAGGGACGGCAAATGACCCCAAAATAATAATCTTTAGTTTTGTCCTCAGCACAGTTCCACTGTAACTGGTAACGTATACTTTCCTGTTGCGTTTGATCTCTCAAAATGCATCACCGTCCACATATCCCTCAAGTTGCCACCCAAGTTGATAGGGTTGTTAAGAAGGCGTATGGTGTACTGGCTTTCATTGGCAGGGGAATTGAGTTTAAGAGTCGCAAGGTTATGCTGCAGCTCTATAAAACCCTGGTTAGGGCACCCTTGGAATATTGTGTTTAGTTTTTGTTGCCTCATTATAGGAAGGATGTGGAAGGTTTAGAGAGGGTGCAGAGGAGATTTACCAGGATGCTGCCTGGACTGGAGGGCAAGTCTTATGAGGAAAGGTTGAGGGAGCTAGGGCTTTTCTCATTGGAGCAAAGAAGGATGAGAGGTGACTTGATAGAGGTGTACAAGATGATGAGAGGCATGGATAGAGTGGATAGCCAGAGACTTTTTCCCAGGGCAAAAATGACAATTATGAGGGGGCAAAGTTTTGAGATGATTGGAGGAAGGTATTGGGGAGATGCCAGAGGCGGGTTGTTTACACAGAGAGTGGTGGGTCCATGGAATGCGCTACCAGCGGCGATAGTGGAGTCAGATACATCAGGGACATTTAAGCGACTCTTGGATAGGTACATGGATGGTAATAAAATGAAGGGTATGCAGGTTAGTTTGATCTTTGAGTAGGAAACTAGGTTGGCACAACACTGTGGGCCAAAGAACTCGTACTGTGCTGTACTGTTCTATGTTCTCAGATGTTTGAGGTGATGCATTTAGGTGTGAAGAGTATTGAAAGATGATATAATTTTCAGTAAAATAAAGTGATATTTACATTGAAAAAAAATTGATTTTAAAATGCAGCAAGTTAGAATTGAACAAAAGTTAAGTGCACAACAGAATCACAGAAATGTTACAGCACAGAGGCGGTTATTTGGCTCATCATCCCACATTAACTCCCCAAATAAACATCATGACTTCCTGGTCCTTTTACGAATGGAAACAGTTTCTCCTTATTTACGCTACCTAAGCTTCTTAATTTTTGAAACCGGTTATCAGATTTCCTCTTAGGTTTCTTTTCTCTGAGGAGAACAATCCCAACTTCTTCAAATTATGCTTGTAACTGAAACCTCTCATCTCTGAAACCATCCTTGTAAAGTGTGGGACCCAGAACTGCACACAAGCTGAGGTCTAACAAGTGTTGTATACAAGTTCAGCATAACCTCTTTGCTTCTGTGCTCCATGCACCCATTAATAAAGCCCAGGATACCGCACATTAACTGCTCTCAACACCTGTCTTACCATATTCAAATGACTTGGACACAAAACACCTAGGTCACTCTGCTCCTGCACTTGCTTTAGGATTGCAAAGCTTAATTTATATCTTTCAATACTCTTCATACCCAAAAGCATTACCTCCAACTTCTGAGGTGATGCATTTTGAGAGATCAAAAGCAACAAGAAAATATACAGTAAATGGTAGCTATCTTAGGAACATCGAAATACAGAGAGATCTTGGAGTGCAAAGTCATAGTTCCCTGAAAGTGGCCAAACAAATGAATCAGGTGGTAAACAAGGCATATGGCATGCTTGCCTTCATCAGTTGGGACAGAGGATAAAAGGTGGTATGTCATATTGCAACTGTATCAAACTTTAATTAGGCCACATTTGGAGCATCGTGTGACAACCAGGGCTGCTCACAATGGGAAGGATGTGGAGGCTTTGGACAGACTGCAAAAGAGAATTTACCAGGATGATGCCTGGATTGCAGTGAAGTAACCAAACTTTGAAATTGTCCCTGTACAACAAGATCTAGATCATGAATATATAGCAGGAAAAGCAAGGATCCTAATACCCACCCCTGGGGAGCTCGACTAAACATCTTCCTCTAGCTTCAAAAAGATCCATTGACCATGACTTGGTTTCCTGTTACTCCCAATTTTGTTATCACTTTGCTACTGTCCCTTTTATTTCATTAAGCTCTATTCTTTTTCCACAATTCTGTCAATGCGTCACTGCACTGAACAGTTTCTGGAAGTTCTTGTACACAATAATCAACAACATAATCTTTGTCCACCCTTTGTTATCTCTTCAAAAAGACTCCAGCAAGTTAGTTAAACAATATTTTCCCTACAGAAATCTATGCTGTCTCTTCGTAGTCAACCCAACTTCTTCCACATGATTCTATTGGGAAATAATTGTTTCTCGAAGCTTCCCCACCACTGAAGTTAAACTGACTGGTCTTTCATCTTTCTTAAACTGAAAAAAACAGAGCAAAAGACTGCAGCTTCGTAAGATGAATGTAGTATGGTCAAATTTGGAAAGAGCTTCAGATTTAAGTAGGCTATAAAGTCCAGTTTTGAAAGAAAGGAAACAAAATCATTGCTTCATCAAAAACAATAGTTTTCAAACTTTCACCACTTAGATTATGCATGAGATGATTCATACTCCAGAAATGATGCATCTCAATATCCCTTATTAATTCACTGTTTCTTATGATAAGACCTGTTCGCATACCTGTTAAACTCAATCTTTTCCTCGAAGCAAAGTATTTATACACCAACAATTCTGAAAAGAT